AATATGTTTTGCTGATGTCCTGGTCTCTAGTAGTACATTGCTCTTCTTCTGTGCCATAACTCTTGTCTGTTTCTCGTTACTGAAGGTGTTCCGACCGCCATATACACTGACTAAGGATAAGTTCCTCATACAACCGAAATTCAAAACAGCCAAACTGTTAAACAGAAATAAACTATTCACCTTAAAATACGGCTTGTTGGAGAATGTAATGTCCTTAGCTGTGAAGAGATGCACTGATGCCAACACTGATTTAATCTGGTTGAGAATAGAGGCCGACAGGGAGGAGAGCAGCTCTGGCAGGCTGTTCGGACCATCTCTCCCAGAAGGCCCCCCTCCTCCGCCCACTGAAGCACTGGCCACAGAGAGCCGAGGGGTGGCCAGGGCCTGCCTCACGTCCGTCAGGCTGTCCATGTAGAAGCTCTGCAGGGCGGCCAGGTACTGCTTCACTCGCTCCGTGGCTGCACGGATCACGATCTCTGTCCCCTTGGATGGCACTGAAGAGCCTGGCAGCAGTTTGGTCACAGCCTGAAGTCTGCGGTGGAAGCGATCAAGGGCCCGGACCAGGAGGGAGTTATCTCCGACCCCTTTCTCCTCCTGTATCCTCCGCTCCACGAGGGAGAAATACCGAGCGGCCAGATCATCCACAAATGCGTGCAGCTTAGCGTTTGCCATCTGTGGAATGTTTTTGGATGCGAGCTCCCCCGTCTGAGCATGGCTGACAAATAGTTCTTGATAGGATGTTATTACTAGACATAAGCTGCTGACAAATTCATTGCAGCCTCTGTCAATGAACTCCAGGATGTCAGTGTTTGAGGAGGGAGAAAAGATAGCGCTGGCTTTAGGGGAGCTAGCAGCCGGAGATCCTGTAGAGGCAGGAGATGACAGCCTGCGTACAGAGGCATCTTTCACGGCTGAAGCAGACGGGTAGGGTCTTATCTCTGCTTCCAGACCCTGGAGGTCCGACTCAAGTCGAGACCGCGCATGGCTCAAGAATTTATCACAGAGCTCCTCCGCTGGCTCATCCAACTGTAGCAGCAGCTCCACACACTCTGATAAATCTTTAGCGCTTGACCCACCATCCCTGAGAGACAACAGCAAACAAATAGGCAGAAATAGTTGATTCACAGGAAATACATGTGTCACATGTTCAAACTGCAGAAAGATGTGTACAGGCAAGCATTCAATAATGACAAAACAGCTCTATTTGGGCCAATGCTTTCTTAATTTACTTTTGAGTTGAGGAGTATAAATATCTGCAATAAACAATGCAACAGTGAGATGAATCTAACTGAATTGTCCCTCCTGGCTTCCTTAAACTTGACAATATTGCAGCAATAACACAAATAGGAGTTTATTCATCTTGTTTTGTGTCTAAGTTTAGAGGATCGTTACATATCGGGTATACAATGAATGTGCAAATGTTGCTTGAATTGTCTTTTCGCTACCAAAGCAGATGTTGATCATCCACGGCCCCTAACAACTAGTTCAGAGGCGTGAGAGTCATTTCTCAATGGCGGTGTAAAAACAATCAATACAAATCTGTTTATAAAGAATTGTGAATCACTGGAAACACAAGAGCCCCTAGACTCTAGGGCCTCTTGTGTTTTCAGTGATCCACAATTCTAGGGCCTACTAGAGCATATAGTCATTAATATGAATGAAATATATTAGATTGAGGGGACCTGTAGTATGGGAGAAAAGCTGTGAATGGACAAAAGGAAGCGCACAAGACCGACATAATATTGAGATAACAATGGCAACGGTCTAAATAAACGTCATGTAATTCTTTTAATCCCATTGTATTTCTATGTTTTTTTCTTTTTACACTTACTGGATCTTGCAAGAAGTAAACGTGACTCTTAATTGCAATGCTCTCTTACAGTTGCATCTCTAATCTGAATGTAAATTGAGAGATTCCCACCTGAACTTCTGTCGAAGCTCCTGTGCCAGCTTGTCCATGATGGCGTGACAGTCATCCTGAATCCCTTTGAAGGAGGGCAGGTGGCTGTACTGCTGCAGCACACAGCGGGCCAGGCGGTGGGATCTCACTGCCTGAGCATAGGCCTGCATCTCCAGACACTTATTCAACCTGGCAGGCAGCTCAAACAGAAACTGCAGCTTCCTTAACAGAGTGTGAACGCCTGGGGTGGAACAAGACAAGAGAAAAATGTGAAAATCACAGCGTCCTTACAACTGACTCAACAAAACAGACTGTCGGTTGAGGTCTCACCTGAGAGCTTTGTAATCTGCGCGTGCTGGTCTTGAAGAGTACCGCTGATCCGAGCGCTGAAGTCAGTGATTGCCGACATGTTAGCAGACAGGCAATCCATTTCATCCTCCATCTTTTTGAAATCATTCTTCATCTTTCTTATGGTGTCTGGAAAAATATGGCTAGATGGTTTAACGATCCGATCCATCTATGCACATTTCAATGAAACATTTCAACAAGTGGAACAGTAAGCGAGGCGTTCCCTCACCTGTGGCAGATATGAACTTGTTGTAGTTTTCATACACCAGCGTCTGCATGTCACTGTCCAAAGAGCGGATCTGCTTGACCATACAAGTCTCCTGGTCCATCAACTCCGCTAGAGAGCACTCCCTTCTTAGCTGCCATTGAACACAAAACACATAAGGACACAGTCACAAACAGTACATAAAACACAAGGTCCAGTGTTACACTGTCAGTATACCTTTTTCCAGATGATTTACTTAAGTAAAAGTAGCAATACTTCAATGTAAAAATACTCAGAAGTGAAATTGTTCTTAAGACTGAAAAGTATTTGCATACAAAAATACCTGCGTTATGCAACAGATCTTTTTTTCATTATAGGTATTACAATGATTGATACATTAAAGTGTTCATCACTTGAATGTTGCATTTTGTAAAAGGTGGGGTTTATTTGAATTACTTTATACACTACTGGGTAGCATCACCTATAATAATGTGTGCCTATTTTTCCTTTGAATTACTATCCTAAATGGAGTGTCCATGTTGCCTGCAGGTGATGGTCACTCACACTCAAACGTGGGAGTCAACAATGATTGCTGAATGGGACTCTTCCTAATTCATTGGTTTCATTTGAATGTGTTGTCTATTAATCAACACAATCATTTAGAAAGGTAACTGGTTTAGGTATTCACATTAGAAGCTTCGGTTAACACTGACATTGAGACAGCGTTAATAACATTATGCGTCACAGTGTAAACAGTTCACATCACAACAGTGGTCCTCACCTTGTTTAAGAAATGCTCGGGGTCAAAATGCGGCCCGTTGATGTCGCAGGGATCCAGGGACTGCGCCTCCTCCTCGGCCTTTCCTTCCTCGTTCAGCCCGTAGTAGAGCTTCAGCATGCCGTGCACCCTGCGCTTCCTGTCGGGGCCCGAGTCCTCCGACACCACCGCCTCAGTGTCCATACTGTACCCTGGACAGCTGACAGATAAAACGAAGGTAAACACAAATAAAGGGCGACCAGCTGGCAGGAGAAAGCTGACAACCACCAAACGAAAAATAGTTATTCTTGCCCTGAAGTGACAGCTAACCGTGCAACTAAGCTGTCTGTTCTTAATAACAGGGCTGTAATAATTAATTGGCAAATGTCATTAATCTGCTGTGAGACACAAGCAGCTAGCTTGAAAACGTCACTGTTCCGGGTTTGTAGCCTATCCGGTGTTACGTTTTCAAAGAGCAAGTGAAGTCAAGAGAGTTGACTACACTCACTTTTGTGAGGAATGTACTTGTCTGACAGCCCGGAAGTACGCTACTGCGCATTAAAACAAGAAATAAGAAAGCTTTAAAAAAATAAGAATTAGCTTGCTATTTTATTATTCTACCGAATCACAAGCAGCTAGCTCAAGAAAAGTCACTATGTTCGGGTCGGTGGGTTATCCCGTGTTGTTCTTTTATTACTTCTTCTATTACTTCGACTACTTCTTCTTTTATTTTTTGTATGGCGGACTACAAACTGTTAAAGGTGCCTGCCGCCACCTAGTGCACCGGAGTGTGTCACGTCAAGACCGAAAGTAAATGTATTTAAACGATTAAATTAAGCAAAAAAACTAAACAAAAAAACGATGCTATATTCCAGATATAGAATAGACAATGCAGGTTTCCTTTTCATGAAACCTGCATTGTTCAAAGATTTAAATAAATCCCTTTAAACCTGTGGTGTTACCATAGACTGGGTGTTACTCTGTCAAAGAGAAGGTGTAGTCAAGAGAATAGACTCACTTCCGTGATGAATGCACTTCTCGTCTAACAGTCCAGAAGTGCACTACTGCACATGTCACACACTCTTCAGCATTCTAAAGTAACATTATATTACGAGATATTTTCATGAAACCTTTGTAATAATATTACATAAACATTATTTAACAAAGAAGCTGGCTGGCCTCATGCAACTCTTGAGAACCAATGGTTTGTCTGAGTAAATAATCAATCAACCAGACAACAATTAAGACAAACAAGAATCAACAAATTACGATAAAAACAATGATCTGGAACTCCTGCCTCCATGTGCTCATCTTTAAATCCACTGCGTTGACCGTTTAAACATTGAACCAACCACCCTCACCGCCCTCCATATTCTTCAGTATATATTGGATTAGTATGTTGTTTGTCCATTTCAAATGGATCACTGTTGGATCCTGTCCGGTCAGGAGGGGGCGACAGTGGAGCGTTTGAAACTGAGGAAACACCTTTAGGCAGATTTGTAGCTTCTCTTTCTGCAGAGAAATGCCTGTCGAACAGCAATATCTGATCATAATTATTACAACTTAGCATTTTCTGATTCTATATGAATATAGAACTTGTAAAAACTAAGACCACTAAAAACAAGGACAATTTTGGACCTTCTTGACTTATCAATCACACATTTGTGATGCTTAATCAAGGAATAAACCAGAGATATGTTCTTGCCTTCTCTTTGTATAGCTGGAGTGGAAATAAGAAATGGAGACATTTGAATCCAGTACAAACGAAGGGCAACACTCTTTATCTTGAGAAAAAAACACTTTTCTTTTATTGATCAAAGACTGAAAATCTGACAAAAGACTATATAATATTGCATTATGGACAACAATGTATCAGTGGAATAATAACCTGTGATCTGCTCGGCATTGTTCAACTTATTAGTATTCATTTAAAGTAAATACAATATTATTAGGTGCATTGAAAATTATTTACACATTAATCATAGAGCAACGATAAACCACATCCCTCATTATATTACCAATTTGTAACAAACACGTTCTTGATTTCACCGTAAAATAAATCTACAACTGTATTATCTGAGAAGAGCGCAAAGCAACATATAAGGTTTTAGAAGAAAGAGGTTAATGGTGAGACATTTCTTTCTTCGGTGCCTCTCACATAAATGAGATCATTAGGCTTACATTCAGCAGCACTTACTGTAGAACGTGTCAACATGTATAGAAATACAAACATAGTGCTTCGATAAAATCACACATAAGTAGGTGAAGTATTACACACACCTTTAAGAGATGGATAGGCCTGGCATCAATTTATTTAAAAAAGAAAAAAAAGCATATCAGACATATTCTAATGAAGGCAGATTAACCACTCCATTGAGAGGAATCACACTGTTCAACAGCAGCCCAGTGTAGTCATCCACTTTATCAATATACTCACATCGGCTACAGTATGAAATATGAAATATATGGTGTAGCTGGAAATGTGGAAATACATTATAAACATGATTATATATTTTTTTAAACCATAGCAATAATATCCATTCCTGGTTTCCAAGCACCAAAAACAGTCATTCAGACGCCAACTGAGTACAAACAAAAAGGCACTTAATGCAAAGTGATTGCTTGAGAAGACAATTACCTATTTCTTTGCTTCATTCTTGTGCATGAACACTGACAAGTATATGAAAATGAAATACAAATATTTTCGTGTAAAAGCTCACAAACCATAGAAAAACAAGTATATAAACAGTGTATTAGTATTAATAGTGCAGTATCAGGTGTGTGTAGTCTGATGTGGAATGCCTATTCTACAATGTGACATGCATAGTGTAAGTTAGCAACAATAAGTGGACTGCTGCAGGTAGGTTACAGACACAGCTGACATATTGAGTTAAAGAAAAGTACAAATATTTGTCAGTTTGCATGCTGTGGAAAAATCAGGAAGAATACATGATGTGGAAGGCAGGGTAAAAATGGCTATTAGTGATTAGAGCTTGTTTGTTGAAGTACATGAAAGAAACGGCCTGTTTAGGGTGAAGTTCAGAGAGGCAAATGGAGGGACTCTAACATGTTGTGGAGACTGAGGTCTGGCTTTAAGGTAGCATACTGTGTTGCAGCACGTTAGAAGGCTTGCTTTGGTGTACAGACAGAGTTCAACAGCATATTCAGAGGTTATTGGTCAGTTGGTCTGCCACAGAGCACATAGTCCTGTCCTTTGAAAATGAATCTCAGAAATGTCTTATTTTATAGAAGCAGTTTTGCTCCTTAACACATTATGAAAACTGTACTATTTCTAAACAAAAGAAAAATTCAAAAAACAGGAGGCCACAATTTTGTACAAACAAAAGTGTATCCATCGTAGTCACCCATTTTTGTGTTTGCAATGGAAACAATTATTTCAACGCGGGGTCCACAGGTAGTAGAGTGCTAACAGTAAGGAGGTTGTTTTTTCTTTCTCATCAGTTCTGCATCTGTTTTACTTTGATAATCAAGTCCGAGCTGTGCCATGGATGATGCATCACTTGAAACTTTGACCATCAAAAAGAGATCCGTTAAATTCTACTTAGCTCTTTGATCAACAGGTAATCACAAAAGAACACAAAGTAAACTGCTTCGCAAAAATCAGAAAGCCTCAAATAAATGGGCTTAGAGCCTTCACATTTAAACTTAACGTCTTAAAAAGGGATGGTCTCATGTCCTTGGATCCAAAGAGCACCTATTCTGCCAAGCTGCTGTTATTCTGTTCTCCTTTTAAACTTGAACCTGCTTATCATTCAGTAGCATAACTATGGTGATTTGATTCAATAATTGCTTACAAGAGATTTTGTTAAATGTCCGTTTTATCCTATTCATTTTTACGTTCACAGCAGAATTATTTGATACGAATTAATATAGAAGAGATACTTCCCCAGCACAGACACAGTGCTTCTATACGGACTCAGTAACAACCACTCAACGTTTCTACCAGTACTTTTCTAAAGTGTCTTCACCCTTAGATGAGGACAAGGCACTGGCAGTTTGAAAAAGCAGAAAAGTTGAGAGCACGCCCTTATATCGTCCCCTGACAGTGTTTGTCATGTTGAGTGTGTTAACTCTCACAAAAAGAGTGTATTGTGATATTTTTTTTTTACGTCAAAGTCCCCCAAAAGAGGTAAAGCAGTGGTTATACTCGAATGAGGTTTACATTTTTGAATTGCAGTAAACGCAGCTCCTGAGTGCTGCAGAAAGGTCAGAACGGTCATGAGATATACAGTCATCAACTGAGTCATTGTCTGTAGGGCTAACTTAGTCTCATGAAGTCAGATCATCATAAGTTGCTCAGAGAACGCTCTATTCACCTCCGCCAAGGATAGTTCACAGCTAAGTTTATCTTTCAGCAGGATTACGGGAAAAGTGCCACATATTCAGGACATGTTCAGGACATTTAGTGGAAGGGTGTATCATGTGCTAACGAAGAACCCATGACATCCAAATCACAGGGTGGATACATTAATGCTGCATTCATAAAGTGTTTGAAAACTTAAAAAACGTGTTCCAAATTGGGACACTTAATGGAAACAGGTTTCACCTTCTTTCTTTTTTTTTTTTTTAAACACTGTTAGCATTAAACTACAACACATCTTTGCTAATGAACATACTGCAGTTGGAAACAGGATACTTTGGGGAGCATGTGAATGCACCACTGGCCTTGGCGGAGGTCTGCTCTTTTGAAATGTCATTATAGTTTCTTTATGTAAGGCTACCTAATAGAAAATAGCCCCTTCAGTTCGACCTCAGAAGAGTAGAGGTTATTAGACCCTTTTTGTTTTTCACATATCTGTATTCTTAATATAAACACAACTTCAGAGGATAAACATTGTCGCTCACACCTAGATGCCTCACTTGGTCCTTTGCATGTTCATATATTTTCAATTAAATGTCTCAGGCTTGTATCAAGTCTTCTCCTTAAGTATCAGTGTAAAGTGTTCAGGTTTGGTCTGTGAGAGGCATGGGGCCTCTGGCGAGTTTACCCCTGCTCCAGACTCTCCGTCACCTGCACAGCAGAGTACGTGGCTGCAGAGTACGTGGCTGCAGACACCTGGCGGGTGAAGAAGGACGCGGCTCGCTTGGGTTTCAAACGTTTGATTTCTTTTCCTGAAAGACAACGGAGAAAAACATTGATTTAATACACCAATTGAAGCTTCTAAAAGGAGATTGTCTTTGTCTTAGTCTGGAAGTAGCTTATTTCAGAAAGGGTAAATTGCGAGTAGTATTTACTACTATATTCAATAATTAGACTCACCATTGTCCACGTAGCTGATAGTGTTAAGTGACTGGACCCGACTGCAGACCACGCTGCTCTGCCTGCGCAGCATCCCGCGCCGTCCTCCTCGTCCGTTCTTGTTGCCGTCCTGCCCCCCAGGCTGCTGATGTGCCCCCACCTCTCCGTCCATCTCGGCTGCAGCTCCTCCCTCAGACGCAGACCTCAGCTCCACACAGAACTCAATGAAGCCGCTCATTAGCTCTGCCTTGAAGACAAAAGAAAGAAGATCGAATGTTTAACAAGGCCATATTACATGTTTTGTGGAGTTCCCTTTCCTGTCGTGTGTTATAAAGGTTTCTGTGCATGGAGATGGTCTGCAAAGGCTGAAATCCAAAAGTTCCCTACAGAAGGAGTTTCTCTCCCACAAACATGCTTTTGAACATTAAAGCATGTAAAGATGTCACAGTCTCAAATACAATTATGAACCTGAAAATGAGCATGATAGGGCCCCTTTGAGTCTAAGCCTTAAATTAGAGCTGCAACAATTTGTTGATCAACAGAAAATAAAGACTATTTTGATACTGGATTAACCATAAAAGTAATTTTTTTTATGGAAAACTATCAGACTATCACTATCTTAAGTGTGGAGTTTTCTTGCTTTTCACATTTAAGTGAATAAATTAAATACTAATTAAACGGCAGATACAGTATATCGATATTGAAAATGATAGTGTATTGCGGCCCTATCTTAAACTGTACATAAACAGCTGTACTTCACATGAAGGGGCATATTGCCAGCTTTGGATTAGGTCCCTGTGTGATTATGTATCATGCCTCAACCATTATGTAACCTCTCTTCACCATCTGTTGACTTTTAAACCTAACCATCATTGAACACGGATGATACATAAGAGTACAACAAAACATTTGAACTCCATTAGGTTTCAACACTAATATCGAGTGTTGGGTTAAGAAAAAATATGCATAGCAGCTGCACCAGAAAAACACCAGGTGTTGTGCGCTGTGACACGCATAAAAGGACAACATCTGTTTCAGCAGCAAGACGTTTCAGAATTGATGAAGACAAGAAAAATAAATGCTGAACAGTGGGGCGATGTCAGTACCCATGCTGGTTGGTGACACTGTATGTGCAGGTGTTAAATATAGTCTTATAAGATGATTAGGGAATTCAATCTTATTTCACCAATATTCTTTTGTTTTCTATTTCACCTGTTTTGAATAGATCTTCAGCAATTTGTTGACAGGAGTGCCGTCTTCCTCTCCATCAAACTCCAGCCACAGGATGTGTGAGTCCCCCTGCTCCTCGGGGTAGCTGTGGTCCCAGGAAAGCTCGTTGAAATGCAGACCCAGCAGCACATGCTGGGAAAACATGGGTTTAACCGGAGTAATCAGATTCGTTTTCATAAAGGGAAATGCGCTCAATGCTTATGCAAGTATCCACAAGTACAAAGTGAGAAACATCGCATTGTGCTAGGCCTTTCACAATAACTACTGTTGTTGGCCAATACATGTCCCAGAAATAACTATTTCATTGTTATATTAACACAATTGTATGCCACTGATATAGTGGTAAACACCCTTTTAAAGAGCAAAAGCATCTAGTTTTCAAGAATAGTAAGAAGTATTGGAATGTGAAAAAAATATAAATGATAAACTCTCTGGCTCTGTCTGCAATGACTACATAAGGATGATGGAAGTGTGGTGGAAGGGAAATCCTGCAGTTCTGGCAGTATGTTGGCTAAAATGTAAGTGATATTTTTATTTAAACACATTTAAATATAACGGGCAATCATGAGGTCAGCATGTATTATCAGGTATATATACATACATGGGACGATAAGTTGATAAATGTGTGCTCACCTTCTCTTTTACATCCATCACATAAACTCCCTCCAGGCAGATCCCAACGTTGACAGCTTTGCGTTTGGCCCTTTGGAGAATCCCTTGCACTGGTTTGTCAATCTCTCCACCGAAGAAAGCGCACCTGTTTGTGTAGTAAATTCAGAGTATAACTTAGCGTGAAAAATAAAACTACAACTAAATATGTATTTCAATTATTTAAAAAAATATTCAGATTCTGATTGATATAAAGACAACGTCTAAATGTTAACTAGGTGCCAAAACGAACATTGGTATAAATGGCTCCTTATACAGCTCCTTACCCATAGTAAGGCAGGTTGTGACATGTGTTGAGGTACTGGTGGAGGAGCTGTGTGGGCTCAGGAGAGTTCCCAGCAGGTGAGCTGATCTTTCTGTACTCCTCCAACAGGTTCTGCTCCAGCCCCGTCTGACGACTCGACTTCCCTCTCAGAGTGGAGAGCAACCCCCCACTGCCCATGGCAACATGTACGGGCAGGAAAGAAGACAGCTTCTTCCCTCTGTGGAAAGCAGAGGAGAAAAGTTTGGAAGTGCATATTTTTTGTGCAAATGTGGGGTTAAAGGTGGGGTAGGTAATTTTGGAGAAACCAGCTCGAGATCGCTAGAATTTGAAAATACACAACCGGAGAAAATCTGCCACTTCCTTACAGAGCCCCTCCTCCAACACACACGAACGCGCACATGACCAATGAGGGCACGAGATAAGTTTGTGCACAGATGGAAGGCTGACAGGCAGGTAGGCCATCCAGTTATTTTTACAGTATTACGGCTTCCACAGATGACATTTTTGTCAAAGCACTTAAGATATTCATTGCTATCGGGATGTTAAGAGCATTCCATGGAATATAACAAAAAGTGTATCTCGAGCCGGTTTCTCAAACTTACCTACCCCACCTTTAAGATAACATTCTATTACATTCGGATTATTTATCAAAATGTACTGTTTAATCGTGTTTCACAATGCTTTGGTTGCTCTGTATGTAAGATGAAAAAAACTACGAATTGCATCAATGCAAGACGATCATATGCAACTGTATAGTGCCATTATTACTATCAATTTCTCCTGAAATAATCCGTTTTGTTCACTCCTACAGGTGTTGTAAACCTCAATATACAGATACATTTCTCTCCTAAATCACTCAATTGACTGTTTTTCATTCAAGCTTGTTACATTTATTTGTTTTTTTGTGTGTTTTTAATCATGACCCTGATGAAGTCAAAACGTGCTGCTTTCGCAATAACTGTCTTTCTATTGAGCTTTGTTTCTTCATGGACATAAAAACAAATCCCCTGATGATTACCAAGAGTTCTTCTGAAAATGACCTCTTCTTCTAAAGTAGTATCTGCAACCAGTACTTATAATACAAAGCATGTCTCCATCAGTAGATAATGGCTAATAGTCCAATCATATTGTAATTTAAGGATTTTATTGGAATGAAATACGAGACATTGTTTAGAAGACAAGTCTCTCATTTCCTCTATTGTTGGGAAAGCTTGGCACATGACACTCAGTTTCATGGTCAGAGAAGAAAGACCAAACAGTGACAAACCACATGCACAAACTCAGACATTCATACTGTGAGCAGATACATGAGACATTATCATAAATATCCATTCAGACATTTGTTTATTATTTTATTGTTTATTATAAAACAAAAATGTCCTTCTGTGCATTCTCGTACTTACTGTAGCAACTACAAATCATAATGTTACAGTAGCACATTATTATCAGCATTTAAAAAAACAACACCTCCTTAAACATTTTCTTCATAATTCCTATGGATTTTCTTTGAATTGCAACATGTAGTTGCTGATTGTACTTTAGGAAGCTTATTTTATGACTTTATCAAATGTTTGCTTCTTGCCCTTTTTCACAGTGTCCATTTTATTCTAGTTCTAGTTAAGCTGAATCGAGGCGACCTCTCACCATTTGACAAAATGGCAGAAGTGGCCAGTACTTACTTCTTCATTTCCTAAAAGGTCAGCTGACAACTTCAAAAAATGTCCATTCAAGCAAGTGCTGAGCCCACAGAGAAAGAAGTCTGTGTGGTTGATTATCCTACTAGAAATCAGCATTTATACTCTTAAATTAGAGTCCTAAAAGTAAACAAAATGTCGTACCACAATTATGCGAATGACACTCAGTTATACATTACAATAAAGCCTAGCGACTACGGACCATTACAATCCCTCACCAACTGCATGGAACAAATCAGCAGCTGGATGAGCCACAATTTCCTACAATTAAACAAAAACTTAACCGAGACCATTATCTTTGGTGCCATAAGGGAGGAACGGGCTGAAGTAAGTGCTAAACTAGAAGCCCTACTGCTAAATACATCGGAAAAGGTGAGAAATCTAGGCGTAGTTCTGGACCCCGACCTCAATTTCAAATCCCACAGCATACTATCACTTGAAAAACATAGCCAGACTTAGAATATTCATGTCTCAACCAGACCTTGAAAAACTAGTTCACGCATTTGTTTTTGAGTACTGTAACAGTGTATTTACAGGTCTCTGTAAAAAATCACTTAAACTGCAACTAATCCAGAACGCTGCTGCCAGAGTCCTGACCAAATCAGAGAATCAAAAAGAGTAGAACACATCACCCCAGTACTCAGATCTCTGCACTGGCTACCAGTAGCTTACAGAATCGATTTTTAAATTGTATTGCTAACTTATAAACTTATATGTCCGACATGCTGCTCTGTTACGAGCCACCCAGAGCTCTGAGATCATCATTGTTCCCCGGCTCAGAACCAAACACGCCGAAGCTGCTTTTAGTTTTTATGCTACCCACAAATGGAACAAACTTCCAGAAAACCTGAGGTCTTCACCAACGCTGAGTTCTTTTAAGTCACGACTTAAAAACACTACTTTTTTAATCTGCTTACCCAGAAGTCTTTTAACTTGTTTTAGCACCTACCGTATTTACAATGTTGTTTTTAAACTATTCTGTATCTCTTTTATGCAGGTTTTTATGAATCTGTTATTCCATTATGTTTATTTATTGTGTTCCTTTCTGTTGTCTTCTTGTTAAGTGTTAATGATGATGTAAAGCACTTTGAATTGCCTCTGAAAATGTGCTATATAAATAAACTTACTGTACCTTACCTAAATTAAATGTAGTTTTTAAAAATAATTTAGTTTTTCGATACGTTCAATGCCAACTAAAGATATCCTGTATACAGTAGTTAGGGTTAGTTTAAATTGGCTTATTTATTTAAATGAATAGATTAACAAGAAGATATGACTGTTAGGCCTGTAAGATCAATATGAAGCTATAACCAGGAGATCAGTCTAGCTAAGCAGAAACATTGGAAGCAGGGGGAAACAGTTAGCCTGTGTCTGAAAAAGGCTTAAAACCAACATTTAGTAGTATGCATCTTCTCATCTGGAAAATGACTCTAATTCGAAAAAGATCTAACTGTTGCTTTAAGAAACCAAGGGTTCAACAAGGCGCTTACCTGAACATTTCAAAAGCATTAGAAAACCCATATCAACAATTTGGTCAACTTTATTTAACCATATTTTCTAGCTTACCTTATAGTAGTAGTGATTTGTTGCCCATCAAGACCAGTTCCCTCATCTATAGCGAGAGACAAGGCTCCAAGTGTGGTCCAGTGCTCGGGGTCGCAGGGGTATCGGCCCATGAGGATGTTGCCCCTGGCCTCCTCATACAGGAGCCTGAGCACTCCCTCATCCTCTATCTGCTCAGGAGCAACACAAAGACAACAATCCTTCAATCATCAGGAAAATAAGACTCCAAGTTTCTTGTGATGAACGACAAGCATTTTATAATTAGCTTATATCAAATATTATTGAATGTGTTTGACAATAATACCTGCAGCTCTTTAGATTTAGGATAATACACGTTCCGACGGTACTGGAGACACGGTTCATCTGAGGAAGAAGCAGAGGACCATGATTTATTAGGGTAATCCTAATCTACAGTAAGTAACAGCATTTAAGTTAATTTGCAATATATTTGTGATACTACTTTTGTATGTTAGTGCTTCTTGGGGAATATTTTGCTTAGGTATCTAACCTTTAACCCAGTCCATCACTATCTCCTGTCCCATGGCATAGGTCTACGGCCTCGGGGTATTGCTGCTATCTCTCTTAAGAAGGAGCAGCTCTGGCTACTTCTGGTTGCCGAGCAAAAGCTGACCTGAGATAGTTTATCGTTTGTGGACATCTGGGAGTCCTTCTTATCAGGTGCGTAGGTCCCACTGGCGTACATTCTTTGGCCATGGACAACAGTTTTAGACCACGTCCACACGGAGACGATATCAGTTGAATCCGCTAACGTTCTCTATCGTATAGACGGTTCGCCCACACGAGGCCGAAACGGAGCCGCGGATTCGGAGCCCGAATTCGATACACGTTGATAACGGCTCCCAAAGTGGGTAGGTCTGAGGACTAAACGCTTGCGGCTCCGTGTGTACGCCCTATACGATCATTCCCTGAAAACGATGACGCCATAGCCCCGCCTCTCCCGCTCACCCCTGCATCATTGCTGATGCGTTTTGCCAACAACAACAACAATGGCGGATCACAGGGTTGCGTTCGTGCTCCAGACGCTACTGACCATGATACAGATTTTAGTGCAACATTTACAGCTCCACAACCATCAGCAACAATAATAATAATAATAATAATAATAATAATAATAATAATAATAATAATAATCGTCATCGGTCTTATTCGCTGCTTTTGGTGTATTTTGTGGCGGAAGTACAGCGCCACTTACAGGCATATGTATATGTATGTACATACTTATATGTACTACAGCGTCTCCAGCGGGTCGAGCGGTCTCGTGGACGGACACGTTTCTTGAGCCGATTCCGTGTGGACGGAAGACTTTTTTGATATCGAATTCGGTTCGTTTTCGTCTCCGTGTGGACAGGGCCTGAGTTTGATTTAGTGCCCCGTTTGTTTAGTTTTGTTAATGAAGAATGTTGATAATACACTCTGAACTAGTTAAAACCTCCGAATACGGAAGAGATCTTCAGAATTGGTCGGGCAACCGCTGTGTCAACTCGTGGCTGCAACACATGTCTTGTCAATTCTCAGGCCGTAACTTCATAATAAACCATCAGTGTTTCACTGTATTTAGACTCCATTGCTCCAGAAGTTTCCATTACAGTGCTAAGCTGTCACTCTTGTGTTTTGCGACATTTGCAATGCCACATGGACAGCTCTGTATGCTAGGCTAGTACTTTCTTTTAAAACATACACTGTATCCTTTGTAGACTTTTTTGGACAGGATTTGCCAACATACTGTAGACACTGCTTAACTGATCAGGGTCACTGAACATCCATAATCCCAACAACGAAAGCTGACATCATTGTGGTTACATAAGCACATAAACGCAGCAATATATGGAGCAAAAGCTCACCTTGTGAAATGTCTTCCTCTGAGGCTTCAGTAAAACGATACAGCAAGTCCTGCCACTGACGACACAGCTTGTATGGTTGATGCCTAGCCTTTAACTGTAATTCTGAGGAGGAAGAAAATGTAACAAAGTGAGAGGTGTCCATTTTCCTGCTGTAAATATAGTGTGTTTTGCTGTTGTAATACTTGAGCTGCTTAGATCTAAGGAAGGTAATCTTGTTTTAAGAGTACAGTTCAATGGTAAAGGCAAAACCACAATGTCAAATCAATAGTTTGCTGTGACTGAACTGATTTTTAAACTGAATTATTCATGCCAAATTAATTAAACATATGGTATTGAACCTGCTTGTAGCATTTTATTGCTAATCCAAGCAGTATTGTACTGTATAATGCCTGTTTTATTTCCGCTTGTTCAGGCACAAATTCTACACAGAACATCCCACACACAACATCCTACCATAATCACATGAGTAATATTTTGTAGCCAGAATGTGATGTTTTATTCAAGAAAGTAGGATTAGTATACACATATTGCCAGATGAAGCATCATAGCCTTAATTAGTGTAGAAAGTGTGAACAAAAGAAAGTCCTTACCGAGCAGGGGAGAAGACAACCAAAGAGCAAAAGCATCCTGTGCAGTCTCAGGAATATGGAGAGCCTCACGAACACTGCGGCCCAACTCCTGCACAGAGACACTGCCAAGCCCTTCTACTGTTAGGTGCACAGCGCTGTCACCACAGAGGTATACAAGCACATCTTGAGCTGTGTGAACAAACACAAATGAACACAAAATTAAACAAATATAAAGAGACAAGTAAGCCAAAGAGAAAAAAAGAACATATCGAAATAATGCATATTAGTCATCTCTGAGTGATTTTACCCTCCATGAGTTACATTATTAATATATAAGCTGAAGCGTACCACGGGAGAGAGTTGCAGAGGAAGCAACACTTCCTCTCTGCGAGTGACCATCTGATGAATCAGGAGGAAAACTGCAGTCGTCTCCGTCCATCTCTACTCTGCAACACAATGAACAAACACAAAAGTGATCACAATATATACACACACAGCAGCATTACATGTACAATACAACATATTTTGTTTACGGCTTAAGAAAGTCAGAATACATGAACTGGAAAAGTAGTCCATAGAAATGTGGATGTGTGAGATGGCCAGACAGGAGGAGGAAAAAAATCCCTGATATTTAGTATATATTTATTTGTGTGAAAGCTCTGCATATGTGGTAGTTTCCAGGTTTACAGTTGTTACCTAAATACACAAATGCCACTATCTTTAGCTCACTTCTATCTATGCATAATGCATTACTCATGCATGCTTCCTAAGCTGCGTGATGTGGGACATTAGATCCATAGGGCCTACTTGTATGTACATGGGTGATGGGATTGGACTACTAAAGTGTGCTATTTCTCAGCACAGAACTTTATCATGTTCAAAAATCACAATTATCTATGTACAGTAAATAGGTTTGTGTGTTGACAAGACAGATATCAGCAATATTCCTGGTGGGGTCTTCCACAGGGACATATGCCACTTCATCCATGACCTTCAGTCATATCTGAATAAACAAGTAATCAGCTAATTTAGTTTCACTATGCACCAGCGCCACCATTTGGCAGTAGACAAAACAAACAAAGACCCTGTGTACAATCACAACACCCCAGTCGACTACTGTTGACCTCACCCTGTGAAACCAAACTTATAGTCGCCCCGGCATTGATATTCAGCAGCGTTTGTATGGTATTTGTAAGGGCTTTAACTAGAGATAGGATAGCCTAAATACAACGAAGAGATATATATATATATATATATGATTATATATATGATATATATATATATATATATATATATATATATATATATATATATATATATATGATATATATATATATATATAATATATATATATATATATATATGATATATATATATATATATAATATATCTATATATATATATATATATATAGATATATCATAATCTATCTATATATATATATCTATATATCTATATATCTTATATATCTATATATCTCTATATCTATATATCTATATATCTATATATATATATATATATATATATATGTGTTCAAACTGTACATATACATATATATATATATATATATATATATATCAACTAAATGCTGGCCCGCGGTACAAGGGCTAACTAGCTAACTTCGTACCATAGCTAGCTTTACATGCCATCTCAAACAATGTTTAAAATACATACTCAACCCCACTAAATTCACGAAATATGCCTTGGCTTTAAGGCTAGTGAAGCGACCTTGCTAGCTAAAGGCGTATTAAAACACACACAAAACATTATCGTGAAACTAAGATAAAACAAAACGGTTCACTCATCACTCCACGACGAGTTTGTTACTTTGGTGGTTAGTTAGCTCCCTAACGGTGTTTTTCACAACAGTCTGAGATCACGTTAATAGCAAGTACAGGAACGAAATGTCTCTGCTGTCCACCTACCTGCCAGTTTAAGTGAATTCCCCTCCACTTGCTGTTATGCGGATGGGAAGACTAATATTGTAAATACTGCAGCTAAATACATCAGCTAATCAACGGTTAGATGAAACTCTCCCAGTCACGGCTCGCCAGCTTTCCGGGCAACCGCAAGAGTTAGAAGTTGTGTGTGGAGAACGATTCGCTCACTCTGAACGGCTCTTTACTGGGTGTGACAGTAACTCTGAAAGACTTAAAACACCCTTTTTACAGAGGTATGTATGCACGTAGAAGACAATAAAACAGCTAAGAGAAAATATGTTCAAAGTGTTAGTCGGGGGATGATTTTAAATAATATAAACAACTTACAGACGGTGTACAGTTTGAACACTTTTACCAAGAACAGGCTCAAAAAGGAAGGATCTCCAGAATGAGTCGAATATCCCAGCACGCGCGTTGTTGTCTCCCTTCGTCATTGAAACGTCATTACGTGTGTATACTGTACGTGGGCACGCAGGCAGATACAAGTCATGTATTACCTGGCTGCCTAGTAGGCTGCAGCCCTACTGTTAAAAAACACAGGCCCTTTATAACCTAAATACTTTAATATACCTCAGTCCATTAGTCCTACATAACTTTCATTACAATGCTAGTACGCAGGGGACTTTGTTATGTTTCAGCCTGTTATGATGTTTTAGCCTGTATGTGATAGTATACCTGAATATGATTGACTACTTGGGTAGAAGACTAAGAGGTATGCATGTCTCCAGAAAATCATTCAAGACAGTCATGTTTTTAAAATAATCTTTATTTAAGCTATTTACATGGGTTGATATTACAAATTGTTTCTGTTGTTTCTGGTAATAAAGAGAGTGAAGTAAAATTACCTTTTATATTAAATGAACTGCCCAGGGACATGAGTGTAGAACACAAACTTCTCATCCAAATTTGAAAAGTAAGATCTCAATATTATACTTTTTCCTGTTCTTAGATTTTCATAAGCAAATGCAGGGGCAGGGGCAGGGGCACAGTTAACTGTCCATCCTAAATTCACCTGACGCAGGAGTCCAACTGCAAGGGCAGCAAGTTGAGTATTAACAAATGGGATCAAAGGCTTTAGCAAGGTTTCCTAACAGGGGACACACTTAATGGCTTTAGATGGATTACTGACATTGATTATATCAATCTTCATAATCCTATCGCTTTCACTAACAGGGAGAAGAAAGGCAGAGATATGCATCTTGAAAAACGTTTTGTGGTTGGGTATATTTTCTGATGATATACAGTATATGGTTACAATAAGGAATGTTTTCTTTTTATATGTGCAATTCATATGAATAAGTATTGTTTTTATATTTAAGTCAAAAATTAGCATTCATTTGTTGCACTCTCAGTGTGAAAAAATATTCACAAGTGGGTTTCCTGTGTGGTTTAGGGGTCAGCTGGGGCTTCAGAAGAGCCCTCCCCCACCTGGTTCTTAAACAGGAAGAACTGCATCACAGGTTCAATGAACTCCATCACAGTGTCTTTCACTGATTTCTCCAGCAAGTACCCTTCTGTCTCAATCTCTGTGTTTTCATTCCCTGCCACTGCCTCCATGGCCGTCTGCAGGAACCGCAAGCTCACCAGCACAGAGCCCTGGGAGAGAGGAAGGGGAAGAAATGGGGGAAAAGAGTTGTCAAGCAGATTCCATTAGAGAGCATCATCAAGGATCCAAATTGCAGTGGTAATTGATGGATATGCATAGATGTACCGGTAAACATCAGACCCTAGAATAAGTGAGGAATAAATTGAGGTTTACTATCCAACAAGATTGTTATTAAAAACATAAAACAATGTTGCATACTGGTTTTAAAACAACTTGGTTGCTGTACCAATGCCTAGGAATCAGTTGTATTCCTCAACGATACTCCAAATTGAAAGGCTCACCCCAAACTTTGCCTGAAATCCCTGTGAAAACCACTGTAATTATTGTGTTGTATACCTGCAAGAGGAAGACTGACAGTACTCCAGCCCCAATGGTGTTCATCAAGCCCATGAAGTAGCTGACCAGGGCCTCTCTGCAGCCTCGGAGGTACAGGTTGAGTTCCTCCGTTTGGTATTCATAGTTGAAGTGAGCTGAGTTGTTTGTCAGTTGATACTGGATGCATGGCCGTGGAGAGCTGGGGTTACAGCAACTGAATGGGACTCCATCCAGCAAGTAACGACCATCCACGTTGCTCTTGATGCGGCTAAGAAAAAAAATGAAAGTGGTTTTTCAGAGCTCATATATACAGTAGGCCTACAGTAATCTAACATATTGTTTTTCGATAAACGTCCACAAATGGTAAACCCATTACACCGAACTCTATAAGAGTTGTAAAACCCAAGAATGAGTCAGCATTTTTGCACTTCTGGTTCCCTTGTCACGAAGACATCGTTTTTTTCTTTTCATTGTTTGTGTTTCTTTTCTTGGTTGGATGCCTGAAATAAGGTCTGTGCTCAACACAAGTTTAAGTGATTTTCACATTTAATTTGGACAGACAGGGAACCTCACCTAAGGGGTATTGATGTTGTAGTCATATGATTGTTGTGTATGTTTTTAGGCTAATGCTTTTTACTTCGGACATTTACCAAATGAAAAAAATGTTCATTTGAGAAAATAATCTCCTAAACATGTGTCTGCCTCATAGCTTATTTTCTCCAATAATCAAAAATCCAAAAGAAAAATCCCATAGTTTTTTTGTCAAGGAAAACAGTGTAATGCTTACTTCCGGGTTGGCCTACAACTGTGCAGCACTATATAATATTGTGCTAAACTTACTCTTTCACTTCCTTGGAGCTGAAATCAAGGTAGCGGTTGCTGATCCACTGGACCTCAAACCAGTCCCTGAAGTCATTGTTTCCACAACACTGAAACTCCATCTGCAGGCGGTCGATGTTCTGTTTCTGGAAGCAGCGGCCCGGGGTGTCTGTGTCCTTGTAGAAGCGGATGCCGTTCTTCAGGCCGACCTTCAGAGATGACTCCAGACTGCCCTTCATTGCATAGCTCATGATGACAGCAAGCAGCATGAGGACAGTGAAGAAGCAAGAGACGGCAAAATATGGCTTTAGCATGTTCTTCCAGCGAGGAAATCTCTCGGCATCCAGAGCATCCTGACAGATCTTTGAAGCAAAGATGTTGATACCCAAAGAGGCCAGACCAACAATCATGAGAGTGTTGGGCACAACATGTACGTCTGAGTTATCCATAACCTGTAAATAAGTTAGACAATAATGTTAACAAACAATATTTCATTTGTTTGCTGTAAGGAAACATCAGCCTTACTAAGAATGAAACAGAGTCTTTATACAAAGCTATGAAAACGTGCTGATGTTTCAAACTATAGAACCTGATAGAGATAATGGGTGCTATTTGCCTGAAATTCCCCAAAATGTCCCCTAAAATACAACAATAAAACACAAATGTTCTACCAGACTTGAGACATATTTGTCTTTACAACTAAAGCTTTATGTTACATGTCATTTATAAAATATTCAGACTTCTCTTATCCTCATTCTTACTAAATATCTTTACTACAAATCATAAGATAAAATTAAGTGTAAACTACAATGCATTGCAATATACATTGTAATATGAGAACAATTATATAAGCTTCATGGATTCTGTAATTTATTAATTTACCCGCACTTACACAATCATGCAAACAGACAGCCATCACACCCTCAGCTTTTCAAAGCATACATCAATCAAAGAAGATCAAAAAGTCCCTTTCTTGACGCTAAATTCTTATGATTTAGAATAATTATTTTGGGGCAAAAAATGCAAAAAACACAGTTGCATAGTTGTGCAAAGATTATGTTTTTGAGGCTGCAAATAATTAATATTAGCAATAAGCAAAACAAAACTATGTAGGTTTGTTATTAATACAAAATTAGGATGACAGCATTCAGGAGTGGGGGTTAGGCTGACTGAGAGTGACAAAGCCAGCTTTCAAATTATGAGTCAGAATCCAAAGTGGGTCACAGGTGTTTTTACCACTTGTTAGTCTCCATCAAGGACATTTCTTGGACAGTATATTATATTTAATGTATCCCATAAGACACTTTTACGCAATGTCATGTTTTAAATTGTAACAGTTTAAAGGTAAGACAGGCACAGAGGGTATCTTGAGGTTATTCATGAAAATAGTCACTGTATCACAAAACTGCTGTTCCTCACTGTAGATACAGTATGTACTGAATAACTGTATCTGGTTATCTGTGTTCTCTGTCAAAAATATAATCAGACCAACTTGGTGTGTCGTTTTTTCCCCAAATATCAGTAACAAAGTGGCATTACTTGCGATAACTTTAACAATTAAACCATAAGTAATTACAGTACTCTACTGATTTTTGTATTTGGTTGATAACTCCCTTTAGAATTATAGTCTTTAAATGTAAAACTTGATTACCTCTGCCCTCCTGCGGAGCTCCGTCTTGAGGATGCAGCCCAGGGTGAAGGTGATGGCCCCGGCCACTGTGGCACACCAGGAGAGAAGCCACAGTCCCTGGGCTAGCTTCACCCTTTTCTGAAAGGGGAACTTCATCTTCATCACCACCATGGCTGCAGCCTGGGAATTTGGGTCTTACCAGGGGAATAGGGGAAGGACAGGGACGAGGCAACGAGTGCCGATGCTGCGGTGCTTTGTCTGCGAGGAAGAAGGAGAGGTCAGATGCAGGGCACTGAGGCTGGAAAAGCTAAGTTCAACACTAAATACACACACTAAATAAACTCAAAGAACACATGGAAAATAGTTTTCTGATTGATTTCTCCAAAAAAGTAAGATGTTATAAAGCAAATCCTTGGAGAGTAACGTTTTAAAGCTTCAGAAGTGGTGCATCTCCAATATAAAACATATTTCACAGCATGACAATTCACCTTTTAATGTCTCCCCAAAAAGTGCTGAAAAAGTCCAGTTATCTCCACTGACCACCGTGTACCACACAGTGGATTTGGCATACTGGATTTGGTGCACCTTGATGCAGGGAGCTTCTTACCACTAATACCTACCTATCCAATTAAACTTGTCTCTGAATCCAGGCCATTGTCTGCTCAGCACCCATCACACACACAGAGGGACATGGAGGACAAAACAAATCCAACCTGACAGGAAGATGGATATACAGTATATCTATACATATATTACCTGTGTTACACATAGCATCATGACACCATTTTAAATGGATCTGGAATTCATTTGTTATTAATGTTACATATTTCATATAAAAAAAGACAATATATTATATGATATCCTGTATTCATACTTTATTTCAAAATGTTATTTGTTTCATATAGTTATTTGTGAATCCTTAAGAGTTAAAAGTAAAGAAGAAGTGTCAATGGTAAGCAAACATGTTTAACAATGATGAAATGTTAATGACTCTTTGCTAAATTTAGGGAAGTTTCAAGCAGAATCGAGACAGCATGAGGAAGCTCTTTTCGACACCCTGAAACTGATCCCGGCCGGTACAATGCCAGTTTCTTTTACAAACCACAAGCAGAATTGTAAGTGATTTAAAAAAATGTTGGTTCTAAACAAGTGGCCAACTTTAGCTTAGCGGAGATGACGTGAAGTCATGCGATCATGGTCAAGTGTTGTTCTAAACTAAGTTAGCCAACAAAGTACATCATCCTTACAGCACTCTGTTGTCCATCTTCTATCATTCTATGTATTTATCAAGACAAACTTTCCAAAGAAAGTTGATTAAAAATAAAACAAACAGCTGACATTATGTTTAATTGATTCTTCATTTTGTTTATAAGATGTTACATTGACCATGGTACATGGATGACATTTACACAAGCTTGTAAAATGTGTTTATTTGCAAGAATTTATTTTAAAAGGTGAATGAATGTAACCTGAGGAAATAAGTTTTGCATATACACATATTTAAAGGTATTTTATATTTATAAGTTTACATTTTGTTATATAGTACACGCTAAGACAACAACAAATGGATTAACAAGAAAGCACTGGATTTTCTTTTTCTTTTAGATTACTTGAAGTATATATATTTATATAGCATTCAACAATGCATAATTGAGGCTACCTACAAACGAAGAAAATATTTTATGATTACATAATGTTACATGCAAAAAGCAAACAGATTAAAGAGATGAAACGACATGCTTGTATCGATGATTATACTAAAAAAATAAAAGATTCCATCAAATGACTAAATCTAAAGGGATTTTTCAAGTTACAGAAAAGTACAGTCATGAATAGGGGTTGAATTTATACGCCGTAATATAATTGTCTATCTTATTTAAAATATTTTTTGAGAAACAAATGAGGAACCCAAAGGAGGTAAAGGGGACATGGGGGTTACATCTTGTATTTAGCATTTTTAAGGGAACATTTTATCATGCTTTAGTGTTCAAATTACATGTTATTTCTTTAACGATGCAAGCCTGAATACACCTCCATTCACCCTCTGGTCTCTTAACACTCATTTTTAGGGGCTGTCTCTTTAAGGAAGTCCTAAAGCTGTGGGGGGAGCTCCTCAGAAAACTACTAAAACATGTTTTAATTAAAAGGTTAAGTTGAATCAAAACACATGTTAATTAGCAGGGCAGAACCACTGAACAAGTGAAAGAAAGAGCTTAATTGAACTTTACTAATAAATATATAGCTAAAAGTACTATATGTTTTGACACAGTGAACAGGGCCTTCATGTTTCTGTCACAGCTTTGTTCGCTCTGCTTTTATCCCCTCGTCTGTCCAGGCGTGCACCTCGGCCCTGCCCTGCCCCTGCTCTACTCCAGCCTGCGGTCCACCTATGAAGTGGTTGAGCATCCGCTCTGCTGACTGCAGGCCGGCTAGATCTGCCTCTGACGGCCTCACAACAGCCACGTCCCTCTCGTTGCTGGTTCTCCAGTGATGAATGATCTCATTATCTAAATCTTCGACGGCCTCGCCCCCTTGGTGGTGGAGGTCCATCATGGCCTCCGTGCCCCTTAGCTCCTTCTGCATATGATGGCGTGCCAGTGGGATTTCCTCAAGGCTAGCAGACCGTATCAGGATGGCGGAGCCAACGTTTGGACTGGTGGTGATCCTGTAAGTGCCTTCACCTGTCAAAGCTTCAGACAGATTCTCATTGTGGATGGTGAACTGGAGATGAGGTATCTGCATTTGGCGCGCACAGTGACGTCTGAGGATTTCCTCACCACCTGACTCGCTGTCTTTGTCCATATCTGCATCCTGGTGTCTCCATACCTGACCTCTGTTGGATCCTGTCATTACAAATCGTGGGGTATCATCTCCTATCTCTGACCAGTCAGATTCTTCCTCCTCTGGAACTGGCCCCAGACATTGGTCCTGCCCTCCAGGGTTGGTGTTGTCGTAGTCATGGATGTCCATGAACTCAGCTGGAGGGGGGGTGATAGGAGAAACCACCTGATTCATGGCATCACCTAACTGAATTAGAGTTCAGGGTTGTGGAGCACAGAAGTTATCTTCATCAAGTAGAGATCGCAGATAGATTTGTATTGATTAAATAATGCAGAGGCAACATATTTTTTCACTATGTATATTTACTGAGGTAAAGATCTTACATTGCATTTTTCCACACTGTTGGCAAATTTTGCATCAGCGAGGTGCTCCGTCAGTGCAGAAATACGCCGGTTCAACCTCTCACGTTCTCCTTCCATACCCTGAGCCTGACAGAGAGAGCACAGGAAGCACGGTTGTCACAGGTCATTAGTAAGGGGGTAATGTACGTTACAACCATTTTGATGATTCTAAATACTTAAGCTCACGCACAAGAAGCATAGAAAGTCTTCCAATCTTACCGCTGACTGAAGCTTATTCTCTAGAACACTATTAGTCTGTTGTGTTGAGGAGCAGTTTTCATGTAGTCTGAAATGATGTACAGAAAGACAGAAAAAAGTTACTCAACAATAGATTGCAGTACATGTAAGGTTTAAGTAATAGCTGTGCATCATCTTAGATCTGAAAGAAATGGAAAAATCGATTGATGGTTGGCTTTGTAAGTCTTATTCACTTTTATTAGAATGTTAACTCTTTTAGATCTCTGAAATTGCATATATTTCCATTGTTTGGACAAATACATTGCAACTACATGTTATTGAAGGGAGCTGCATGAGCCCAACTTCATGTTTTTGGTTAATTTATTAAGACTATTAAATATAATTTGTGGAACCCCAAACCGTCTACACACTGATAGTGTGCTAATTAAGCAGTGTCAAGTGTTTGGCACCATAGAAATAACATAATGAGAAATAATCAAAGTAACTTTTTTGTATTTGCTACAAACGACCTCCTTTCCTTAAGAAAAAATACCAAGATGACTGATGCATAGTATATATGAATTATGATATGTGTTGGGAGCGAAGGAGGTTAAAATCAGAAGAACAAAATGTGTTTTCTGCGCATTCATTACCTCCCAAACTTCTCTGTAATGGTGCTAAGCTCCATACGTGTCCTCTGAAGTTCTGCCTCCAAAAGCTTCTGGCTGCTCATGAATTCCTCTCCTAAACACTCCATCCTCACTGCGGTCTTCAGCAAAGTCTTATGCAGACCTTCGTTCTGCTCCTGTAGGATCCTATCAGGACAGTTTCACAAAAGAGAATCCCAACTGAGGAAAATGTGAATGAGCATTTGATGGATTAATTTAATAATTCTTAAAGGGGCTCTATTACGCCTTTTGGGGTTTTCCCTTTCCTGTGTACTATAGGTTTGCGTGCATGTAAATGGTCTGGAAAGGCTAAAATCGCAAAGTTCCCTCCAGTTTCTCTCCCACACACTCCCCCCCTTCCTGAAACGCCTCCATTGGACTCCTTTGTTTACTTCTGTAACATAGTGACATCACTCATATTGGTTAGGGCTCCAAGATATTGTGCGTGATAGGCTAAGGGGCGGGACATCTCTAAGTGCTTGACCAATCACAACAGAGCTGGCCAGCTAACCAATCAGAGCAGACTGGGCTCTGGTTTCAGACAGAGGGTGAAAAGAGGTGCTGCAGAACAGGCAGTATGAGAAAAATAAAGAGCTTTTTTAATATTAAAGCATGGAAATTAGCATTATATGTACTTTTTAATCTATTCTGTCATCACTCCACACTCTCATTTTACACATTGGATGTACATTACACAGGTCAATGTTTTTTGTACGATAGTCACTTCCAAAACAATTTGAGTGAGCAACCAATAAGTCTATGGACACTATCATGGTCATGGTTGTTATTTGGAATATTACCATTCACAATCCCAAAATAACTATAGCACACTTACATGATTTTACCCAGTCCATGTTTCTTTTCCTGCGTGAAAGGAAAAAATAAAACTTTAAACATTACAATCAGAAATACTATTGATCATGACAAAAGAATACATTTAAAGAAATGTGAAAATGTCAATTATGATTACCATTGGTTTGTACATGATAACCAATCTATTGTTCTGTAATTTAACTTTAATCTAGAGTTCACGGTTACACGCACACTGGTGCCCAAATCAATAAACAAGCAAATGAGTGGAACATTATTATATAAGAATTTAATCAAGCATGTATAACACAAGGAACTATTGATTTACCAATAA